TCTACGCATTGTTTGGTTGTTAGGGACAATGCTTTGTATATTACCCCATGCTACTTATGCTCTGAAATTACTATTATTATGCATTGTAATTACAGAAGCTGAGCTGGAACATAAAGTACTAGTATCATGAGTTCTTTTAGAAAAATCTAAAGTGCATCTTCCTTATGAGATTTAAAATAGCTGATTTATCAGCAAGACCGCTGGCTATAACAAAAAGATGAGAGTGCTGAATTCTGATGGAGCAGTTCTCTGTGCTTTTGACTGGCTACCACTAGCTTGGGGGTTACTGTCAGGCTACTGCTATAGACCATGTAAGCACCCACAAACAAAGAAAATTGAGCCAAATGTGACTACCATCTAGTTTAACCCTTTTAATAAACAGATGAAGGCAAGGTACAGATTCTGCTTGCAAAGACTGAGTCAGTAGTTAGAAGGGCCTTTTAAATTAAGACACCACGCATATGTCTGAAGCAGTAAAGTACTACTTTTGGACAATAATCAAGATGTTGTGACTGAAATTCAGGCCCCAGCATTATGCTGTTACTATAGTTTTTTTCCTCTCTATGACTCAGGAGTACAGTGCCTAGCCCCAACTCTTTAATACTCAGGGATAACCTTTACTTCGGTGTCCATGTGAAAGGTAGATTCTGGTCTGGAGTCCTTGTTCTCAATTCAGTCACCTTGATATCCCTAGCAGTGGCCTGGTCCAACAGAAAGACCTAAGGGGGAATTGGGGTCCGAGTGTGTTTATGTTACCATGGTTACTGTCCTTCTTTCACAAGTGTGATGTCACTTCCTTTTGACTTGCAGTCATGTAGGAAGGGGCTGTAGGAACAGAAATCAATCATAGCCCAGGGATGGTATTCCCTCATCTCTCCACTTAATAACAGCAGGACCTTGGGCGAATTTCAGTAGAAGGGGATTCAAGCTATAATGTCTCTGAGGTCCCTTCTAATTTAAAATTTCTATTATCCCACAGTTTTACTAGGTGGGGAAAGAGCTCCTTTCTTCTACATTAAACATACATATGATTCATAACATATGATATTTTGACTTATGGGAAGAATCTTTATTATTAGTCTGTACAACCCTGAATGGCTAACCAAAAATGCAGTAAGTGATAGCACTATCGTGCAACCCCACGTCCCAGGTAGACTTCTAGCAG